AGGGGGGAAGGAGGGAAGGGGGTGGTCTGTCTGGCCCGGCCCGCGGGACGCAGGGGGGGCCGCACAGCGCCGGCGGCCCTTCGGTCGGCGGCGGTCCGATCAGCGGCCAGTACGTCGGCGTCCTTGGGCGCATGCTGCCGGCGGACGCGCGCGCCTCGCGGATCTGTGAATGCAGACTCTCCGGGCGCGGCACCGTGCGGCCAGAGTCATGTGACGCGATGCGGCGGGCCGACACCGGCGCGCCGCAGGCCCCGGTCGTGCCTCAGGGGGGGGAGGACGTGCGCCGGGGGAAGCGGCGGCGGTGCGGCGCAAGACGAGCGACACCGGCAGGCGGGGGGGCGGGATGCGCGCGACGCAGGGCGCCAGGCGCGCCGGCCCGGCGGCGTGTCGGTGCGGGCCCGGCGGCCGTTGGGAGCTGGGCTGCCGTCGTACACCGGTGGCCGCCGGGCTCGCGTCCAGGCCCGGGGCGGGCCAGCTGGCGGGGCATTTTCACGCCCGCCGCGGTCGCGCTGGCGGCATCTGGGCGGGCGGCGGCTCGCGACCGAGCGGGCGCGGGACGCGGGGGGGGGGGGGGGGGGGAGCCGCAGCACGCCCGAGGGCCGGGCCGCGACCCCGGAGTCGGGCCTGGCCGGCCGATCGCTTGCCGGCCGCCCGGCCGTCAGATGGGCACACCCGGGGCAACGCCGGCATGCGGGCCCGCGCCCGGGAATCAATAACATCCGTCCGGGATACGGGCGGGCGCGTCGGAAAAGTGCTGATATAATATTCCCAGATGTGTGTTCCCCCTGCGGGGGCGGGTCGCCGGTCCGGCCCGGGAGAGGACGCCGGCCGCCGGCCCTCCCCCCCCCCCCCCCCCTCGGGGGCTGCGTCTGCTTGCCCCGCCGGTCCTTGGAGACTAAAATCCGGCGGCCGGGAGGAGGGGTCGCCCGCCCCGTGCCCCCCTCCCGGGAGCGCGCGCGTGAAAGCGGCCGGATGACTGGCGCAGGTCCCGCGGCGGGGCTCTCGGGGGGGAGGGGGAGGGGGGGGGGGGCGGAGGCTGGCCGTGGCAGGGTCCGCTGGGGCGATCCGTTGTGCCGGCTGCTCAGCCCGGGCCCGCCCTCGGTGCCCCCCGCCCCTGGTCGGCGCGCGCGCGCGGCCCCTCCGCTGCGTCGTTGGCGTGCGGCGCGGCGCGGCTGGGCATCGCGCCATTTCGGCCGCCGCCCCGGCCGCCGCCCCGCCAAGGGATCCCAACACCCGCGTCTCCCG